ATTATTAGGGATGTAAGCAAATTATGAGCAGACTCCTTCCATCCTAGCTGCATCCAAACAAGATCAGTGAATTTGAAGTCCTGTTAAAAGCCTCCTGCACAAGCCTCTCCACTGAAACCCTTCCACCTCCTTCATGGTAAAGCATCCTTTGGTAAATGTCCTGCTTCGTGCTTTGAAAAAAAACATTGCTGTCATCTCAGGAAGGGATTCTGGCTCCGTGTGGTTGGATGTTCCTGCTAGGAGGTCTGTGTGTGAGGAATAATTTCAGAGACACATCTGTCTTCAGTGTTGTGTATTACCTGAAATAGCTTCTTAGCTGTTATCCAAGCTAGACTTCTAGATTTCATCGGACAGAATAGCTGCTTAGCTTTCTAGGTATACAAATCTTGTTTATATTAAGTAGCTTAGAACAGGAGTCCAGAAGACATCATCGTGATCGTCTAGTCTGACTTCGCGTAGAGTAAAAAATGGGTCTGTAGTAAATGAATTCCTTTTTGAATGATACCCTGTTCAGATTTGTATTAGACATTATACAGCATCCTGGCTTCTTAAATTCCTACCAAAGGAAAATTTTAAAGCCATTCCATTAATTAATAACCTTTGTGGTGTATGCCTGCATACTTTTGTCATCTGAATATGTCTAGTCTAACAGTGACTGATTATCTTTCTATTCTTATCTGCTGGATTCAGTAGTCCTTTCCTCCTCCTCCTCCCTCCTGTTTTTGTTCCTTGTAATAGGTGTTATGGTTTGTGATGAAGTTATTGTAGCTTTCTCTGCATCGAACAGTCCTGCATTTAATTAGGAAAATCCTGGTTTCCAAATCTGTAACTCTTGTTCTCCCTAGAATATATAAAGTATATGGATAATATATGTAGGACATTGTTCTCCCTAGAATGTATAAAATATATGGATAGTATATGTAGGATATAGGAAGCCATATGAAGAAAGCTAGGATAGGAGCTTATGTTGTTAGTTACTGTCTAACCATATTGTTATGGTACGTTAGGGGACATATTTTCTAAAATTAAGGAGCAGTTTATATTCGTACCTCTAACTGATGGCAAGACCACTGGTCGTTGTCACTAGGTCTAACTTGCCCATTGCCTAGATGGATGGGTCCTCAGACACAGTCACTTCTGAAGCCCTCGGATGTCAAGGCTGCCCTCCTTGCCTGGAGATTCACATCTGACCATTGGGTTCCTCTCTTAGTTCCTGGAGCAACTTTATTGACTGCCAAGCCAGTCTATGTCTACTAGCTTATATAAATATTTATATTAACATCTAATATTGTAGATTTTGGAATTACTGAGGCAAATCCTGCTAAATGCATCATCCTCTTCTTCTGTGTATGTTCTGTAAAGGAAAACTCTTCCTTTGTGGTTGAAAATACATGGCAAGCAATGTAGTTCATCTAAGCTGGCTCCGTGATCACTATGTGCGGCTCTGAGTCTTGTCAAAATGTGCACTGTGAAAGTCTTGAGGGATTTCTGGCTGAATGCACAGTCTAAGATAACTAAAGGACAGTGTGTTATAGGTCTGAATAGCTTTGCTTTTTGACTCCACTGAAAAGACTGAAGGGAGAGCTGCTCCTGGCATCGGGATTTTTAGAGTGTTTTGTAGAAATTGCTCTAATTTAAACTCAGAGAGTAACTAACACTCAGAGCTTTTCAGAGATGAGATAGAGTTGTCAATGGCAAAATGGGGTGAAATACAAATTTGTTTAAGTAAATTATAATTTACTTAATTTGTAATTCTTTGTGGAAATGTTTCAGTGAATAGAAAAAAGTCATGGGGCAGGAATTTTGCCTTAAAATTACAATTCTATTACTGTAGGCTCTTTTAATATACTGCTTATATGAAGTTATAGATTGCTGGCTGCTATTTATTTTGGAGAGTGTCTGTGAAATATTCCATTTATTTTGAAACTCCTGCAAGCTTGTTAAATTTATCACTGTCTGGTGGCAGCTTAGTTCTTTCAGAAATGCTGCTGTTTGTCGCGGTTAATTCCATGCAACTGTACATTGCCTCTCTAGTGGTGTATGTTGATCTGAACACAGTGGAGTGTGTGGCAGGATAAAACATCCGGCAATGTTTCAGCAGCTCAGCCAGTATCAATAAGATATGTCTTCTGCTTGTGTTGAAAGGAGATGTTTTCTGTGCATCTCTGGGTCCAGCAGCTGCAGTTGTTAATTTTGTTTCATGTTATTCTGAATGTGGTAGCCAAATAGCAGGGAATGTGCTCTGCAGCCGGGGTCTGAGATGGGCTCATGTGGGACCTGCTCACCTTGCCTTAAGCAGGTGACAAAATGGAAAGTACCCTGACATGTACACAGAGAAAACACATTTCTGCAAGTTTATAATCCAAGATACCTTCTTTAAATGCAGTCTTCTTTTGAATCTTGCCTGATCATCACTGTCAAATCGAACTAGAGATAACTGTGTATCGCTAAAAGAATGTACCAAACGAGGCCAGAATCAAGTGGCATGCTGACTTTGTTGGGTGTTTTTCTGACCGAGAAGCTTCTCGGTGCAGTGATGGTGTCCCATCTGTGTACTTAGGAACCTGGAAATGCAGTATTGTTGTAGGCGCTCTGTATATGGGTCCTCAGTGGAGGATGACTCACGTTTAGTGCCACAGCTGGCCTCTTTTGCTTGTTTTCTTTCTTCCCCCTGCCTGCAGTATGTGAATGGCATAATTACAGTGACTGCTTGGAAGCCCTTGAGAGTCTGAAATGTAAAAAATGTGAAAGGCCTTGGGTAGCACTATATACCTATCAAAATAATTTTTTACTGTCCTCAAGTCCATACATAATCCCTGCTCTGTTTAGTACTTCACAACAACAGCAAAATGCTAGCAATTTGGGGATTCCAACTGATAGAATACGTTCATGATAAAAATAGGCGAACCCTCTCTTTCTGCCTGTAGTTCACCAGCAGCAAGAGGCCTACTCTTCACTATAGCCCAGAGAAGCTATTTCCCTTTAGCAGCAGTCTTCAGTGTTGCCAGAGAGTTTATTTTTGCTGGAATCACCCTCTAGAATGCACTTTTCCCATTCACAGTCCCTCAAGTAGCTCAGAAGAGAGTCATGGTGATGACATTATATTCCATGCTAACACTTGCCTCTCCTATTTCCACCCTTCTTGTCCTGAAAGACAGATGTCCTCCATGGCCTGCATGACACTGCAGTACAGTATTTTATTGGAGAGGTTCTCGTCGTGCAAAATTATAGAAGTAAATGGGAATTTTCCGTACACTTTTTTTTTCCTTGATGTATTCCAAATACAAGCAGTTATAAATATTGGAGAATTTTTCTGTGGCTTTTATTTTGTATATTATGACTGCATCTGTGTCATAAAATGGTGTTTTGCTCCTCTGAAATTATTTTGACCCATGTTGTCATAAGCAGAGACTTTACAGCAATTCTATGAGCTAAAATATAGGCTGACTACGCATGCTATAATGGTTCTCTTGGCAGAGACTCTCGTTTGGGTCAAGGGACAAATTTATAGCTATGAAATACCTCGTTCTTGTAATGCTAGTTCTAAAAATGGATATTGAGCACCTTCACTTCAGAAAGATGCCCTGCTCTTTAGCAGTGATGGCCAATGCCATTCCTATCCCCATTCCCACAGAGGGAGAGGTTTCCTACTAACCTTTTTCTTCTAAACTCTGCTATTCAGTTCTCTTGCACTGTACGGCTTATTTGGCATTCGTAGTTTTGAATCAAGGAATTAGTATTGGGTTTTGAATAGACTTAAAGGAATTAAAGCTAGGAAATACGACATGGCTTTCCCCTATGAATCTTTTGCGATACGACACTGTAAAAACAACACAGAAAGCCCTGTTGAGTGATGCTGACTGCTCCAGTAGTAGTACTTCTAAGTGTTGACTTCTGTGGCTCGTGGAAAAAGTAGCTACTTTGGATTTTCTGCTGCTTCTAATCTAACATTTCAAAGGTATTGTTACTTTGAGAGAGACATGGAAAGCTATTTTTTATTTCCTTTGTTCTGTCGTTCCCTTGCTTCTCTCTCTCTTTTTTTTTTCCTTTTTTTTTCTTCCTTAAACACTTAGGAATATATTGAAATAAGGGGAAAAAAAATCTTGTTAAACAACACAGTTATGTGCTCCATAATATGGAATTATATGAGGAGAACTTTGACTGTTGTAAAATTGATCTGTAAATGCTCTCTGAAAAGTATTTTGCAGGATGACTTAGTCACTGCAAGTTCTAATAACATAACCTGAATAACACTGCCTTAAAGTTATGTAGCCTTCCTTGTATCTGGCAGCTTTTTGCCTGCCAGTGATGGAGTAGAAAGGAACATCGCTCATAACACTTGGGTTTCCCTTTTTGTGATGCTTGGGGGTGTATTCGGTTGTCTTCAGGGACAAAGCAGCTTTGTTGTTTCATTAACAATGACAGAAAGGAAAAGGAGAAAAAAAGGGGAGGAGGGGGAATCAAAAGAAATCCTGAATTGAAGTGAGGAGGAAGTGAACATGGGACAAGCGTCTGTTGTCTCTTCTGGTTCAAGAACAAGGTAGGGCTTCAAATGAGACTGGTAGGTGGCAGGTTCAAAACCAACGGATATGACCCCTTTCTCTCCAGCAACTTGTTAGGAATCACGGGGTTGAGTTACCTGGGGAATTGAATGATTGCACTACAGTCTTTGGCTTTAAACAATAAAAGTTTTGCTGGAGTTTAATTATTGAGAATCATTTTATAAGTAATTCCTCTTTTCTTTGCCTATCCAGATCAGACAAAACTACAGATGGCACAGCCAAAGCCAAGACAACGTGTGAACTGATGAGAAGTGACTTTGCCTTCTGAGAACATCAGCTTCGTAGTGGCTCGAGATCTTATGTGCGAGTGCAACGTCACTACCAAAAGAGACCGTGGCATGCGATCGTTGATCAGAAGTTGCAAGCATGGAAAAGCAGAGGACCTCTCTAGCTGTAATACGTAAATAAAAAATAAAAATAAACATTCAGCTCAATCAAAAACTTAGCCCAGCCATGGGAGAAAATGCAAGCTTTTGGGAAAGCTTGATATATGCACATCCTACCTGCACAACTTGGAAGCAAGAGGCAGAGGGATCTATCTACCATCTAGCCAGCATTTTCTTTGTTGTTGGCTTCATGGGTGGAAGTGGATTCTTTGGGCTACTTTATGTCTTCAGTTTGCTTGGATTGGGCTTTCTCTGCTCTTCTGTTTGGGCCTGGCTGGATGTCTGTGCTGCTGATATATTCTCTTGGAACTTTATACTGTTCGCTATATGCTTCATACAGTTCATTTATGTTACTTACCAAGTTCGGAGTGTGTCCTTTGACAGAGAATTCCAGGAACTCTACAGTGCTCTTTTTCAGCCCCTAGGAATCTCCTTAACTGTCTATAGGAAGATTGTCTTGTGCTGTGATGCAGAGGTGGTTACTTTGGAGAAGGAGCACTGTTATGCTATGCAAGGCAAAACCCCTATTGATAAACTGTCCTTGCTTGTATCAGGCAGGTTTGTATCAGTTTGTTCTGGCTTACTTACTGTAAATATATTCTTTTTATTTATTTATTTATTTATTTCCTTCTTGAAAATGAAAGCAAGAAATGGCTAATCTGTGTATTGTTTGTTCATTTTCCAGTAGAGTAGATTAAATATTAATGCATGTAGTATAAATATTAACAGGCTAAATACACTTGTCTGGGGACGGCACTAACATGTCAACACCACGCACACAGTCTGTAATAGCTTAAAGAGAAAGATTTTAAATCATCACTCTTTTTCAAGACATTGTATCTTTGCACTTCCAGGTTACTCAGATAAAGGGAACATAAAGTCTTCAGTCTTCACTGCCTGGCTGACTAGCGCATCTTTCTCATTTTTCCCTACTAATATCATCTGAAATAGGACTAAAATGTAGTTATGAAACTCAGTACAGTGAGGTAAACTGTTTAGTAGAGTATCTTGACTGTAACTGCTTTGTAGGAGATGGAGGGGAGGAATGAGGGAGAAAGAGTAGGCCCAACAACTCCCTTCTGTTACAACGGGCATGGTGAAGCCCTCAGGATGGGCATAGCTGAAGCTACCAGAGGGGAGGAATGAGGGAGAAAGAGGAGGCCCAACAACCCCCTTCTGTTACAACGGGCATGGTTGTAACCTGCCCCTCAGGATGGGCATAGCTGAAGCTACAGTTCGTGCGGCCCTAACTAAGGCCCTGAGGCAAAGTGGCCACCTGCATGTGCTCCTGGCTGAGTGGAGACCTTTCCAGCAAGCCTTAAGACAACCCTGATGGTGCAAGTGCACTTCTGTGGGACCTCTTGGTCTCACCACCACAAGGACAGATCGCATAGCCAGAGATGATGAGCAGTGTCCGTCTTGGATGGTTTTGGTTAGATGCTTCCCAGGTGCATTTTAACAGGTGCATGGACAGAAGAAACTTCCAGGCAGCTTGAAACTTGGCCGATAGGAATACCTGTAATGAGCAATATGGATTGTACGTAGTTAGCCCTGCGATCATCCTACTCTGCCACATCCTTGGGAGCTCTCCGGAAGCTACCATCTGGCGTATATATGTATATAACATACCCACTAGTTGGCTGTAGATGTACTGAAGGAGAGGTGTCCATCCTTCTGCGCGCCCTGCCATTCGATAGCAGTGCAGGGCGTTCCTGCTATGTTATTTTGTGCATAACAGGGCTGCTACCTGTGCCTTTGCAAGAAGCATTAATCTCAGTCCTGAGCAGATGTAAAAAGGGGGCTCTCACAGTTTAATTACTTCCTTTTAGCTCAGGAGGTTCAAGTGTACATTTCCTGCTCATGCCCCTTCAAACTTAAGTATACAGAGAAAACTTCTTGGGTATTTGCAGAAGCCTGCAGGGATCTCCTAGGTCTATGCTGTTCTGGCTTCCGACACAGTCCTGTGGCAGTGCAACTCCTGCTAAACATGGAGAGAGCCCGGTGCAAGACATGAAGTATCATCCTGCCTGCCTCTGCCACTTTGTCCCCTCTAAAATTTATATTTGCTAAACCAGGGCATGCATGCTCTGGCTTTCCAGCAAAGGCAGCAAATTGGTCTCTGCGCGTTGCTCTTTCACCTCTCCTTTTCTTGCCTGCCTTTCTTGACAGAGTTTGCACATGGCTGCACAGACCTGCTCCAGGTAGGAGAGTGTGTCTGGAGAAGGCCTGGAAGGGGTCGCGTTCCTGTTGCACAGCTGTTTTGTACTGTCACTCAGCTGGACTGACCCAACTGTGTGTGTAAAACATGGCATAGTTAGGACACTGTTGGCCAGTGATTACTTTTTGCTATCAAAGCTATATTTAAACTCCTCGCAGTATTAGAAGTAACACATTCTTGTTGCAGTCCTTCCTACTGTGCACATAGTACTAACAAATTAACATATCTTATCTTGGTAGGATCAGAGTGACAGTTGATGGAGAGTTTCTGCATTATATTTTTCCTCTTCAATTTCTGGATTCTCCTGAATGGGATTCACTGAGACCCACAGAAGAGGGTATTTTCCAGGTAAAAGTGGAGGGTGTTTCTTTGTCGTTGTTTCGTGTGTGTGTGTGATTTTTTTTTTTTTTAACAATACTACAGGAAACTGATCAAGTGGTGAGTGTTAATCGGCGTAGAAACAACTTCATTTATTTATGGGTTTTATTTGTAAAACTATACAAACATCTGGCCTTCCAGTATTTTGGGAGGGAGATCCCCATTCTCACTGAATTGCTATGCTGTTTGTATCTTCCTTGTGTTTGCTTTCTTGTTAGAGCAATCTAGGTTTTTCTAAAAGCTAATCTCATAGTTAGACTACGCTTCCATTTCTTGGCGTTTTGCTAAAATCCACACCCAGGAGCGCACCCTGGCAGGAGGTGGGTAGAAGTTTCTGAAGAGGCCTCGGGAGGCAAAGCTCAGAGCTGGGCAGCTGGGAAGGTTCGTGCCTGCGGCACCCGCTGGTGTAAGGAGGCAGCCTGAAACGTGGTGTCCGTGTGGGCTGGCACCTTTAACCCGGAGCTCTTGCAGTGGTGTCACTTGACCGAGGGCAGGGTGATGAGGCAGCTCCCGCTTGTGACCGATCCGATGGCTTCTGTCTCAAGCAGGAGTGACATTTGCGGATGGCTTTCCTGAGATCTGCCTTGCCTGTCTGAGCTGTGTAGAGCAAAGCGGGTGCTCAAAGCAAGCCTTGGGGTGTGCTGTGAGCCTATGTCCTGGCCTAGGCTGCTGCTGGCAGCGCAGGCACTCACAGCTGTCACTGAGGCTGACGTGACAGTTGTTTGTGGCCACTCCTAGTCTTCCTTCTCACTTACCTTTTGCAAGTGCTCACTAGCTGGATTAAATGGTTTTAATTGCAGCAGATTCAAAAGTAGCAGCATAAGTGACTGCTGAGGGAGACAGAGAAAAGGAGAGAGGTTTTTGAGCAAGGACACCAGCAACAATATCACTCATCATCATCTAGCTGATTTTAATTTTCTGTTCTATAGGTAACGCTTACAGCAGAGACAGATTGTCGATATGTGGCCTGGAGGAGAAAGAAGCTGTATTTGCTGTTTGCTAAGCATCGTTTCATCTCACGTCTGTTCTCAATACTAATTGGAAGTGACATTGCTGAAAAACTATATGCCTTGAATGACAGGGTGCAAGTGGGGAAAGGATTTAGATACGACATTCGGCTACCAAACTTCTACCATGTTTCGCTTCCAGAGACACCTACAGTGAAGTCCTCTCATCACCTACAGAGAAATTCTCCGAGGCGGAAGCTAACGGGTGTTACCAATTGTGACACCTCCAGGAAACAATAGTGAGAAGAAAAATTCTACTGTAATCATTCCCAGAATTGATGGGGAAGTGCAGAATGATGAAGAAGAATGAGATCTAGTGAAGTCAAATTTGACAGAAAAGTGCCATTTACTTTAGTTGAAGTAGCTTGAATTCTTCCCCCTCCCTGTAGAGCCAGCTGGTTGGCTTGTACATTTTGACTAATTGTGCGATATGTTTAGTTTCTCTGGATTCTTTTATTGTTACTTTTGAAGGAAAGCCAATCATAGTAAATTGAAATTTTATTGTGGTTGTGGTGGCCTCTATGTTGTGCTTAGCAAATAAAAGCACAGTAGTTGTAATCATATATTCTCAAAAATACTTTTTATAAAGAAGTCAGTTTTATCTTAAAAAAAGTATTTAAAATAATAGCAATTTACTTGTATCATTCATATCTATGCCACATGGAGAATTTTACAGAAAATGACTTAGCATTTTTTTTTTTGAAGAAAGGACAGATTTCAAAATGCACAGCAACATTCTTTAAAACAAAACAATAAATTCCCTCCCATAAGTGGTCAATTTCTCTCAGGCTATCCTAAAAAGACTTTATGTGAAGACAAACATAAAGGTAATTATGTTTATTAATGTAGGCATTAATAAAGTAAAGCAATCATAATTGCTGCAAATACATAGTAGGGGAATGGTTGTGTAGTGTTGCTAATAGATTGTAATGCTATAGCACCTAGATTTCCAAGGTGTAAGTGCCATTCATGACATGTACAATAAATATTGTTAATCAATCAACTGCCCAACCATTGGAGTTTGTTTCACAATATCCTTTTTAGCCAAGTTTGTCAGGAAGAAATTACTTAAGAAACAGCTACAGCAACAAATAAAATTATTGTTTAGCTTCCAGGGTCAGCTCTCTGTGCTTATGAAATTCTTGATGTAAAATGCACTCTCTGAAATGCTGTGATGTTTTAATAATGTATAGGAGCGCCAGCTCAAGCTTTGGTAGGAGGAAGCTGGGTTTGAACCTTGAGGTCATTGTGCCTTGGGGGACAAATGCTTCAAATGCCTTTCCTAAATCACATTCCTGTTTCTGTGCCTGAGGCCTGCTAATAATCAAAAAATAAGAATCATTATTATTTTATGAGACAATATTGCTGCTTGACAGACCGAGGTGGATAAAATTTTTAATAATTAAAATTAAAAATTGCTGGCCTGTTTGGTAGGACAATTATTGTGAGTCTGTGTATGTGCAGGTATACATACAGGTTGAATCTTCAAAATTGTTGCCGGAGGACCTAAAATAATGATACAACCCCATGGTTGAAAGATAATCATGAAGCATATTTAACCAGGTTATTAGAAATGTTATGAAAACACACGTCTGAATGTCCTTCAGTGTAGAACAGAGAACATTGTACAAGTTACGCTTTTGTCTTCACATCTCTTTCTCAAAAAGAAATCTGCCTACATAAATTGCATAGGGCACTATAACATGCAATGCGATAATCCCCAAATTGTGCTAATTACCTCTCCACATCATATATTCTGTATTTATTGCTTACTATGTGAAGTCTCTGAGCAATAAAGCTACTTTATGTTGGTCAAAAGATAATTGAAAAAAAACATGAAAGGAAAGTTCATTGAGTGCTATTAAATGCAAAGACTGGCTCAGGAAATAGTTAAGGAAATAGTTAAGGCACAAACTGCCAGAGGTTGGGAGAGCAGACAGAGAAAAGTGTGGCTATGTGCCCTGTTCTTGCACTGCTCATTGGGCTGTGGCTGGAGATGGGATAGATGGCTAGGTAGCCATTTCATATGACTTAGTGCAGTTACTCTCCTGCAACCTCAGCAGTGGGTTAGTATCATTCTGTCTGTCTGTGGTGCTCGGTTCCTGAAGTTGCTAAGAAGCGCAAATATTCAAAACTTTGCAAAAAATAGTGCATCATCTCTCATACGTGTGGCCAGTTGCACTGAATTTTACATTCCAAGCTCCACTTAGTGAGCTAAGCTGTTGCTCGTTCAGCATTCCATTCTTTTACACTGTTTTTAACAGATGATTCAAAAACATCCTCCCTCATCTCTCATTCTGATAAAATATCAAGAATTTACAAATTTCTATTGCTGTAATGAGGCTTGGATCAGTATGTAGTTTATACTCAGCATTATGAGTTAGCACTCTAGAAACATAAAAAGGTGCAACTTCAGCATAATGTAAAGCATTAATTCGTATTTTATACTCTTTTCTGCATTGTGCATGTCTATGAAAAAAACCTCCATTGACGTAAATAGGAGCAGGCTTTCATAAAGTAATACGACCATTCTGACCTTCCAAGCAAGACCAAGGAATCCTGCCCAATCAATTTCTGTATCAAGTTTACATATTTCATTTAAGCTATCGCATACTGCTTAGAAAGATACCTGCTTTTGCATGTGATGCTTTACTGCACACCAAGTGATTTTCTTTTCTCATTATCTTTTTTCCTGACCTTTCCATGACCTGTGCCTTAGTTTCAGTCCAGCTTCCAACTACTCCCTTGTGATTTTTTTTCATGGTAATATCAGTTGCTGTCAGAAATCTCTACTAGGATGCAACTGACTCATTTTCTGAACATGTCCTTAGATAATCTTGTTTAGCTTTTGCTAGGATGCTTTTCAGAATTTGTGTCATTTAAAAACAAATAATAATTTCCATTTTTTTAGCATCTGTTTCAATCATGACTAGTTGAACATCTCAGCTATAGAATTCAGGGCATATATCTACAGTAATAGATCTATACACACACAAAATGGAAGTGAGACAAGCCCTCCTCCCATCCCTATGTTTTTAATCATGACAACAGCTCTTCTAAAATATACTGTAAAATGCACTCTGGTACGTGACTCATAATATAGTACTTGGGATGATTTACATAATTTACCTAAATAATGAAGTACTCAGGCTGATGTCACTAAAACAATACATTTTTTATACTATCACATACAGCCAGTTATAATCTGTAGGTTAATAAAAACACTTTGAACAAGATGAAGCTCTGACTTGAACATATTCAATTTCTGCTTGTGCTACTCAGTAATAACTACCAGTGAGCTGGTCGGGCTCCATTAATATGGGTTTTTTGGGGGAAAAAAAAAAAAAAAGCATATTTGAGTCAGCACTGCCCTATCAAGCAAAGATGCTATTGTGAATCCTTTTCTTCATTTGCAGTGATTTTCCTTTAGTCACATCTTAGTCTTTGAACAGTTCCTTTATCTTTTATGGGATTATGTCAAGATTTGGATAGTTACAGGTGAGAGTGGTAGAAGCGGGTGCCCGCAGTTGTTTGCTCCTCCCTCTGTATCAGTCAATCCACCAATAGCAAGAATTGCAAAAAAAAAAAAAAAAAAAAAAGAGAGAGAGAGAGAGAAAAGAAAAAAAAGAAAAAGAAAAGAAAGCAGCACTGAACTTGTTGTGAGTTTTATATTAAAAAAGGCTTATTTTGACCTGGAATTGTAGCAAATTAATTTAGTGGATGTGCCAGTGTATTGTGAGATCCTCAAAGCCTGTCTTGCCTTTTTATGGGCTTCTGGGCAGGTTGACTGCAGTACGTCAGGAAAGGAATGGTACATGTCTTAAATACATGTGACACTGACCGTGCAATTCATTTGTGAGGTAGGAGTTGTTTAACAAGTAGCAGCTTAAGTACAGGTAATAAAATCAAGCGTATTTCACTGCAGCTCAGCTCTGCCCAATACTGCAGAATCACAAGGGTGATGAACAGAGAGAACGATCCCTATGTACTACTATAATTAATAATGCTGTGCAAGGGAAGTTGTAAGCACTTAATGCAAGCGATTAGTTTACGTGGTTGCCTATCAGTGCTGCATCTTCAGGAATTGATCATCATGCAGCACACCAGAAACTATGGCAGAGGGTGATCAAAGGAGACTCAGTACGAGAAATTATATATACATACAAAGTGATCTCTGCTAAGAACGAACTGGGAAACCTGAATACTGCTTGGTTGAAAGTGAATAGCTTTACCACACCTTGAAAAAGGCATTTGCTTGCAGGAACTAAATAAAATATTGATGCCATGTTTCCAGAAAAAAAAATCCTCCACAGTATTGAATTACTGTAAATTATAATATATATTTAGATGCAACGTACATTTAAAAAGTATTATGTTGTTTCACTCATATCTGCAAACTAGCTCTTAAAAATACAACAAATCCATAACTGTGTAGATTGAAAATCATTTAAATAGAAGAAACAGATATGACCATCTATTGCTGAATTCAGAGAAATTAATAAATAGATTTTCTTCTTTTCTATTTTTGTAATAAGTGAAAGCATACTTTCCCCCCAAATGTTACAGATTTTTTAAGAGTACAAAATAGATACCTTATCAAGCTGATTGAGTAATCTCTTTTGAAAATACTTATTTTCATTGTATTAATATGCATACAAATGTAGGCTCAGGTTTTCTGGGGAAAAACAGCTCCATTTTTTTTTCTGTTTGCATAATTCATGCGAACTTTTCTTTTGTGTGGATTTTTTGTGTCTGACATTTCTCCTTAATTCTCTGCAAGAGGCAGAGGCAATAAAAGCTGCAGCGTGCCTTCTATTGTACGGTTCCAGTTGTCAGAATTAACTGATTAAAAAAAAGGATGGCTGAGTAGTGCTTGAATGTTCTGGTATTAATAATGCACATTATTAATACCATAAATGAATAAACACAGCGATGCTGAAGGACTCTTTGCTAGCTCACTCTGTTACTTTAAAATTTATGGTCTGCCTTCTCTGTTGGGTGTGAATCAAAGCAGTTAATGGAAGTCGCCCGTGTAAACAACGCCACCTCATCCCGCTGAATCCAAGCGCGGAGGTGGAGCTGCACCAGTGCCAGTGTGTGGGAGAAGGGCAGCACAAGCCCGTCACGTGAGACGTGTGGCGCTCGCCGAGGCCCGAGCAGCAGCTGGAACTTCAGGGAATGCTGCTGTCTGTCCGGCCATGTGTCCGTGTGTCTGTCCATGCGGGTGGGCAGCGCTGGGCTTCGC